TATTTTTTGGATCCATCTTATCACAGATGATCATAGGGTACACTTAAAAGATGCAAATGGCAATAGCAAACAGAACATACTTTTCCACCACAGTACCGATATTCCGGCAAGCTTCTTCAGCAGCCTCTCTGAATGCAAAGTCAGGATGGGCAATTTTCACAAAATCAGCCTGACGCAGTAAAAGAAGAAAATAATGAGTCACGAAATCATATTAAAAAAAATTAATTATAAACAAAGTTGCACTTGAATAGTTCTACTTATTGCTTATTGATACGGTTCTGTATAACCTATTTGAGTAATTTGCACTTTTTTCCCTCAAAAATAAATCTTACTGAAGAACTGTGCTAACAAGTTTTAAAGCAGACAGTGAGTGAGTCTTTCCAAAAATATCTTTAATCTATGTACTTCTTTAAACTGTCTTGGTACAGTTGACCCCTTAGAGTCCCAGTCCAAATTGCTTCTAGATAAAATTCTGCAAGTAGGATAGGCCATCTTTGAACACAGACACCTGAAAGCAGCTCACAGGAGGAACCAAGATACCTTTAACTCAGCAAAGTAAAAAAAAAACTATGATTCCTGAATTCTAACACTAAGGGCTTCAGTTACGTATTGACTGATTAAGAGGAAATAGTTCATGTTATAAAATAATAGAGAAAAGAGAATGAGTGTGCAAGTACTTTCAGGAATCACAGAACCATGGAATGGCCTGGGTTAATAATAATCATCTAGTTTCAACCCCTGTCACAAAAGAGGTCTTGAAAAGAACAAGGAAAAAGATTTGAAAACTGAAACCACGAGAAATTCAAATATGAAAACCAACGGCAAAAACTTCAATGAGATATTATTTATTAGCAACTGAATTCAGCTGGGAATGCTTTCTACAGATAAAGAGCAACCTTCTTCTAAAAGATACACTTTGGACAATTTCTAGTGAGCAACAAAGAGTACATGGCAAAACTCAACATTTTGTGATAAAAAATCTAGTTCTGTAATTCTGCAGACATCAGAAACTGCAGTCTAGGAAAACAGTTGCATTGTGGTAATAAAAGGCAACAGTATTTCCAACCAACAAGTTATGCAGTCCCCCATCTTCTATAACATAACTGATGCTGGAAAGTTTATGTACTGATATTACCAGCAGAAATAGTAAAATACCACTCTGATTTCAGCTCTATTTTTCTTGTCATGGCTTCTGCACTGCTCCTACATCTGTCCTAAAATTAACCGGACAGTTTGACAGGATTTGCAGCTAACTATATTCTGTTAAAGCCTTTGTAATTAACTTTCACTCAATTTACTTTTCAGTCTTAATACAAAACCTCACAGAGCTGATCTGCTATTTACTGCAATACTGAAAAATGTGAAATGAAACAGAACAGCGTAAGGTGTAAAGTCAGTCAGTTTAAAAGGAATTGCTTAAAATAGTAATAAAAACTAACTTACCAAATCTGCTACTCTGCACAAAGCATCTGAAAGCTGATCAAAGATCATTACAATCTCAGGCCCAGGTGGTGTTGAACATGCCTTCTGAACTAGCTGTTCTGATTCTTGCAATGCTTTGTTCTGTGCTTCTTGAAATCCTTCTGGACAACTCAGTTCTGGAACATCAAACAGACCCTGCAGTGCAGAACAGAACAGAAACATATTGCTATCACCTTCCTTGTTTTCTGCCTCTTTGTTTCAGTACGAAATTTCCACTGTGAAATGTTACCAGAATGATCCCTCCAACACAAGTATCCTAGTAGAGCTAATAGTCATAAAATCAATTAACATCAGTCAAAGATAGTGGCATCATACACGAACATCTTCACTTTCCAGCATCACCCTTCAAAGAACATCCTCACTGGAATTCTTTCAGCCAAGATTCTTCCCAGCAAATGGAAAGAGTTTGATATAAAACCCACACAAACTTCTCCTGTTCCATCCTGTAACTTGCTGTACTGTCCTTCCTTCAAAACAGTTTTCTTCCTTCCAGAGCACAAACATGTGACAAATCATAAGTCTTACGTTCTGAAAATAGGGAAAATCATCCTTGTGAAGCAAAAAGACCTATCAAGGAAAGCGAAGAGTAAAGGGGGGTGTCAAAATAGCAAATGAATGTCTTGACCAGGTGTTCCAGATACCAACAGAACACAGATCTCCAGCTCATGAAATGAGCCCTAAGCTCTGGAAAAAGATCTCAAGGGAATGACAGGCAACAACTCAAAAATAATACGGTATGAACAGTTTTGCTCCTGACTGTTTTTTTATCAAGTCTGTCCATGTCCCACAATTCAGGGTAAGTACACTGACTGAGCATAGCTTTGGCAGGGCAGACATGGTCAGCAGTTACACACTGCACTTACTGAAGAGAGTTAAGAAGTTCCTGCTGTGGATCACACAAGATTGCTAACACTACCTGCTAGGAAAGTCCTACAGTACAGAGCCACAGTAGGAAAACAAACAAACAAACAAACAAAAAAAACACCTCTAAAAAAGATAAAATAGTAACTCTAAAAGCAGTACACTACAACTCCCTTTGCGATTGCCCAACCACAATACAAGCATCTCTATTTATGGCTTGTCTGTAAAAGCATATGTTCTGAAGAAGCATCATCAAAAATAAGCATTTGTGACATTCTGAGCTGCTTTGTTCTATTCTATTCCTGTTGCTGATGCAATCACTTTTTCATAATACTCTTAACACAAGTTGGTCACCCTAAGACAATTTTTTTTTTTTTCACTTCCCATGTTTCCATTTGTTATATGGGGACAGGAACCAGACAGCAATAAAGAGAACACTGGAAATATATATATATATATATTTATGTGTATGTCAACAGATGCATACATATGCATACATGCATTACAGTGCCCTTCAGTAATGTTTGTTGCATAAGACTGAAGGCCTGGCCGCTTTAGTCTGCTCCAGATAGTTGAGGACCTCTGCTCTGCAGATCCTGAGACTTCAGGACCTTGTGCAGCCCAGAATCACCATTTGTCCTTGGCAGTGAGCGCACAGCCTGGGCGCACAGCTCTCTGTGATTAGAAAGCATCTCCTCTTTGACACAGATTAGCTGAGAAGTTTCTCTTCAACATCATACAGAACTAAACATCAAAATTAGAGGAAAGAAAAAGCCCAGTGCAGTTTTGCAGTTTTCCATATTCTTCACCTATGTGATTGCACAGCTGCTGCATCGCCTCTTTGCTTTGGCATCTGCATTTATACCCTACGCGTTTTAACTTCTAAGCAAGCCTGTAATAAATACTTGTACTCCTACAGAGCTCTTAAGCCTCTCCAAAGGCCAAGAAAATACAGAACCCTTTCTCTAGAGCAGGCAAACGCACAACATTTAGCTGGATCTTTTCCTAGAGCAAGACCTTTGTCAGTGCACTTGCAAAGGGAGGGGAAGAGATGAAAAGTGTTTCTCAAACAAATGCTAGACTGTCAACAGCAGTCAGAACTGCAACAGTGGCTGAATCGCTTAGTCCCAGTTCAACAGTCTCACTGCTGCAGAAACAGGTGATTTGGAGCACGAAGGCCTGGAACTCACAGGTATTTGGCATACTCAGCACTGGTGAGGCCACACCTCAAGTGCTGTGTTCAGTTTTTGGCCCCTCAGTACAAGAAAGGCAGTGAAGCCATGGACTGTGTCCAGAGAAGAACAATGAAGCTGCAAAAGTTTGTGATCACAAGTCCGATGAGGAGCAGCTGAGGGAACTGGGATTGTTTGGTCTGGAGGAGATTCAGGAGAGACCTCATCACTCTCTACAACTGCCTGAAAGGAGGCTGTGAAGAAGTGGGGGTCAGCCTTTTCTCCCAAGTAACAGAGAATGGCCTCAAATTGTGCCAGGGGAGGTTCAGGTTGGATATGAGGAAAAACTTCTCAGAAAGAGCTGTGAGGCTGCCCAGGGAAGTGTGGAGTCATTGTCCCTGGAGGTGTTCAAGAACCATGTGGATGTGGCAGGGAGGGATGCAGTCAGTGGGCACGGTGGATACGGGCTGATGGTTGGACTGGATGATCTTAGTGGTCTTTTCCAACCTTCATGACTCTGTGATTCTGTGTATCTGCATGCACAGTGCCATCAAGACTGCCATCCTATGCTGGTCAGGAGCTTGTTCAGATTCTTAGGATCCTCATAAACAAACCTAACTGACTCATCCTAAAAAGAAATACATCAGAAAGCCCGAGTGTCACCCACCCAATATATAATTTTTGCAGTGAGCCACTTAACGTTACGAACAGTATCCACATACAGTGATGACAGCTAATTCAGTCTAATTCCAAAGCACTGCTGAAGAGCACGGACACAATACTGATAAAACAATATACAGCCAAGCAGCAGCTCCGCACACAAGGCTAAAGACACAGGCACACAGGCACACAGGCACACAGGCACACAGGCACACAGG